ATAGTTATTACCAACTATAATTATCTGATGCTTCGCGTCATGTGCTAAAGATAAATCAAAGCTATCTGCGTTAAGAGTAATGCGCCACACAATCCACTTCAATTCTAACAGATCTTAGGCGCTATCCGTAATTTGACGCACAATAATTGAACTTTCCACTCTCCCAACTTCGACAGTATACGTAGATAAATACACGCACCTTTCCGAAGCGTCAACAAATCTACGTAGTTCTACGCAATCTGAAGATTCCATCCGTATCAATATTTTGATCCGCGGTGTTTTGCATATCAGTCCGAAATTGCAGCCACTAAGTGTAATTTCCGAAGTTGTTGCAACAGTATTTTATCGTGGACAATTATTAGATCGATCAGGCCGAGTGGGTCAAAAATTTGTGCAATCTGTGACAAAGTGATCCGTTTGGTCAGGCGCGAATGACTAAATACACCCATCTCTCAATTTACACAGAATATCCGCTTTACGTAAATAAAGCACGTTAGTACAACAAAAAATATTGGAAACAAAAGCTAGTACATAGTTTTAGAAATATATATTTATTTCAAATAGCTCAACAAAAAAAAAATAATGACGTTTGAAAAAGAAAAGTAAATTTTATTCGATGTCATTATCGCTGCTGTAATTCAAAACATTCAACCTTTTCTTTTTAATTGGCACAAACGTATCATCTTTGTCGCTTGAAATATTTGGAATTTCGACATCATTTTCATTGTTAACGTTAATTTTTTCGGATGATTTGTTTTCAATCTTTTCTTTTAGTAAGTTTTCATAAATCTGCTGATATTCACTGCAACATTTTCATTAAATCTTGTTGAAATTTTAAAGTTCGTTGAATGTTTGGATCATTGTATATAATGGTACTTTCCAATTTTTTGGCTAATTCAAAAGCTTTACAAAGATTTTCTGCAATGAATGAATTTGTTTCTCCGTAATCACTGTTACATTCATCATTTAAATTGCCAAAATCTTTTTCAAACCTTTGTGATAAAGTAATAATACTAGATATTCCTTCTTCAGTTGTCGGAACACTATTGCCTGGTATAACTACTTGTGGCCATATTGCTTTCTAGCAAGCATTTAAAGTTGAATGCTTTACATCACTTAAAGTTAAAGCAATATTCTTAACACAATTTAAAATATTTTTTTGAAGCTTCTGAAATCGTCAGAGATTCATCATTTTCTAGTTTATTAAAAATATCATTGGAAGTTTAACGTAATTAATTTTTAAGGTAGCAATTATGCCTTGATCTAAAGACTGGAAAAGTTGTATTTGGTGGCAAAAAGACTACTTTCACGTTTGGATGGCATGGTACATTATCCAATATTAATAGTTTTGAAAAGAAGACCTTTTTTCTGCATGTATTTTTCTGCTTCTACAATAAAACATTTGTGAAACCAATTACGAAAATTCTGAGCAGTCATCCATGCCTTTTTATTTGCCACCCAATGTACGGGAAGATCATTTAAATCTGTTCGTTTCACTGCTCGCGGCTCAAGAGCTCGATTTATGAACATTATGAAGATTTCATCATATGATCTCCTGATGCGTTACACCAAAGTAGTAATGTTACACAGTTATAAAAGTTCGGTTGGAAATCTTTTTCCAAAAAAACGCTGTCTCATCGGTATTAAATACCTGATTCGGTTTCTTCAATTATTTTAGTAATTTGTGGTGAAAATTCTTCAGCTGCAGTTTTGTTAGAAGACACAACTTCACCTTCGAATTTAAGATGATAGATAGCTTTTTTTGAAGTTTTGAAACCATTCTTTACATGCAAAAAAAATACTTGTTCTTTTAACCTGTTAAAAATATGCACAGCTTTTTCTTTTATCATTAAACTATTCATGGATATTTTTTTTTTGCATATTGTCGTCCATTCAAATCATCAATGCTTTCTTCATATTTTCTATTAGGATTTCTTGTGTACGATGAACACTGTGAACTTGATAAGATTCCAGAGGCCACGCTACTCCTAATATTTTCCTTCCTTTTCTTGATTGTTCGGACAATGGATTTATTTATTCCATATGTCTCTTAGTAATCGCTCCTTCTTCAAATCGATTCAAAATTTTCATTTTCATGTCCAAAGACAGATTTTCTTCTTTCTTTGTGTTATTGAACATTTGTTAAACATTTCTGGGTTAAAATTACAATATAAATTATAAATCTTAACAGTATGATAAAAACGTTGCTTACTTATTGTGTACTGAATAATATACCGTTGTTAAGGTTGATTGATTCTAACGTCTGAATAATATTGTCTTATGGCTGCTTTTTTGTACAAATACACATATGATGACAACATCACCGAATAAGTTATGTTACTTTTAAAACTTCTAGGATTAAAACTTCTATATATTTTCTGGCTGCGTAAATTAAAATCGCGCATAAAAATTGCCGTGTAATAATTTACCGCATGAAAGAGAGACTCACGTAAAGAAAAGTGCCGCGTAAATTGAGGGAGGGATGTACAAACAATCGTCTGTCGAGGATCACAGCAAGCGTCTTTTCCGCGATTATCTATTATTATCTCGCGGAGCTTCTGCCACGACCACACCCACTTAAATTGGAATTGTGCCTTTGTTAAAATCCTAGATAATTCGCGTTTACGTTGAGTTACTCCCGCGAAAGTTTCTGTACTCGTTTCCGGATGAGTTTGAACACATTCCAACCTTATCTGTTGCAATACTCGCGTTGCAAAAGACGGAGTCGAAGTCATACAGTAGGTGTCTGTATTCAATTCGTACACCTCACTGTGCGTCTGATTGCCATAAAATTTGTTGGAATTATCTATCTTCCGGATCTACAAGAATTTGCCGGTACATTTTTTCTACGTTGACCGACAGTACATATTTATAGGTTCGAAAGCGAATTAGAATTGAGAATAAATCGTCCTGGACAACGTGTAGGCTCTACAAATTGTGTCATTTAACGAGACTCCAAACAATGACCCCGTCGAATACGACCCTAATCTAAACCTTTGTCGCTGTACTCGAAGCCTTGGTTGTCGCATAGTGTGGCAAATACAATGACCGTTTATCATCTATCGAATTTTCAATTCTGGTCATATGATCTAGTCTTTCATATTCATTCATGAATTTGTGACGTTGTGTGCGGAGCTTGGGCAGTTTCTGACACTTTCTCTCTAACGATGTTCCATTTGTTCTCGAGACGTCCCTAGTTCATTTACATTATCGCGAAACAAAATTTGAAAGATGTATCGACTAGTGGTTTGTTAAATTTTTACACTCATTGCCACTTCAATTCACCGGAAGGTCTCTAGTTGTTAGCTGCTCATTATCTTCTATCGCGACATGGCAGTGATTAATTTCGGTCCTCTTGACGAATTGACTGGTTCGCCTAACGCCTTAAGTGCAAGAAGGTGATTCACGTCATCTATGAACTCTTGCAACTCTTCTTGCGAATGACGTTGGAGTAGCGCGAGATTCAAAAAAGTATTCATGTAACCATCGAATCTTCATCCCATGCTAAACGATAATTACTACTTGAGCGATTTTACAACCCATGCTGCAGAACCCTTTTAGTGCGGAATTTAGGTAGTGGAACCTTGTATGTCTGATATCGGAGTGTCGGAGTGTTGTGAATCAGAGAGAGGAATGTATCGCGAAACCGATACTACCTTCTTTTTTTTTTAATTAATGTCAAAGTTTTGTACTCGTGATGGTTTCTTCTTTCTTCAATTGTGCAAGCGTCTCAATTAATTTTTTTCGATATGTTGCGATAGGTATTTTGTTGCCTGTTATTTCTTGATGTATAAAACATCATGCTTTTTTCTCTATTTTAAAATCGTGATTTCTTC